ATTGCTGCCACCCTGGTCTGAGCCACCAGCACCCATACCCTGGATGGTTATAATAGCCTCCTCACTGGATGCCCTGAAACAGCCAGAGAGTTTCTTTAAAAACGCAAGTCAGGGGGCACCTGGGTGGCTCAGTCGGTTAAGCGTCCGACTTCGACTCAGGTCATCATCTCGCGGTTCATGGGTTTGAGCCCCGAGTCAGGCTCTGGCTGACAGCTAGCTCGGGCCTAGAGCTTGTTTCAGATTCTTATCTCTCTCTCTGCCCCTTCCCTACTCTGTTTCTCTCTGTCTCAATAATAAGTAAAAACATAAACACATACACCCCCCCTCCAAAAAAAAGCGCAAGTCAGATTCCCCGCTCCTCATCTCATTCGGAGTAGAAGCCAAAATCCTTACAGTGGCCTTACAATGGGATGTCTACCCCTCCTCCATTGTCCTTCCCACCCTCCGCTGCCCACAGCAAGAATGGTGCTTCCTCTGTGTTCCAGGGTTACTTCCGCCTCAGGGCTTTGCCCCAATGTTCCTGGAACCCATTCCTTTAGATCTTCACACGGCTCTCCCTCATAGTCCACACTGGGTTTCTACCCAGATATCACCTGTCAGGGGGGCTCCCCAACACATACCCACAGCCCGGATTTCATTCATACATTATATTTCGTGTTCATTTGATTACTCTTTTTATGACCTATCTCCCCACATCCACCCCTGTACCTCTGCCTCCTCACGATGACAAACTTCCAGAAAGCACAGATCATCTGCGCTGAATCCCTGGAACCCGCTCACAGTAGGGGCTCGTGAATCATCTGTGATTCAGTGAGATGTTGGCCATGGAATTTTTAATGGCTTGGTGACCCTGGGAGGTCACAACTTCCAGGATCAGATGAGTCAGACTGCCAATGTCATACACAAAAATATCAAAATCTCTCTGTAGAGTTGGGCCCCCAGTCCCCAAGGGCATTCCAAGTTTAAATAGAAGGCTAGGTAGGCCTTCAGTCTCAAGCACTGGCCATCCGATGCTTTTATAAAAGCCTGCAATTCCCACAGGGGAACAGTAGGAGGCACCCCACTGTCATCCCTCAAAGACTCAGAAAAATTGGGAAGGACGCAAACTCCAATCTCAAAACTCTGGGTGTCCTCTGGGGAAAAAAAGTGGAAGAGAAGTGGGGAAAGGGAACCATCTACTTTTTCACTCTTGGATACTTTTGTATTTAAGCAATTTTCATATTGCGTATATATTTGCATAAAAATATTTTAATAAATGTGTCTCTGCATATTTAAAATTTTTTCTTTTACAAGAGAGAAAGCTAATTTACTGCACAGTGGCTATAAACTCAAAATACCTAAGTAATATTATTTTATTTTGTTCCAGCTCGAACCCCCTCAAATACACTTTCCAAGGCATGCTAAAAGCGTGGCTTTATTCGGTGGAAATCAGAGACATAGATCATCCAAGGCCGAGAGCAGGATTAATGGAATCGCTGTGTTAACACTCCAATTTTTCTCAGTGTTGCACAGCAAAACAAATTATGCTGCGCAATAATTCAAACACATTGAATTTATCATGTAATGTCACTGAAGGTATCATATATTCTAATGTGATATCAATAAATCATGCTTATGCACATTGCCCATGTTTCCACTCTGTAGATCGGCAACCATCGGCAGATAAATGATCGCCATAAAATATTTGTAGGTGATCATAAAGGCATATGAAGGCTAGAATGAGAGCAAAGAATGGAGACCTTGGTTTAAGCCTCTGCTACCCCGTTGGTGCAAGGGTGGGTAAATAATGTCCGCTTTTTGAACGTTGCCAGGGGAAACAATGTAATGAGGGAACCTCTCCTACTGGGCAGGATTCTAGGTTGAATCCAGTTGTTTGAGGCTGGCTTCTGAGGCACGTATAGATTGGGAAGAGGAGTGGCCGGCAGCTAGAAGCAGTGCAGATGAGGAGGTTGCTTCTGGGAAGAAGGACGCTAAGGTCCCCTGCAGATGGCACCCACTCCTTAGTATGGGAATGCGAGAGCCAGGAGCTAAGCAGTTGCAGGAAAGAAGGCTGGGAGGAGGCATCCACGAATGCCTCTCCGGGGCTGGGTGCCACGGCACAGACACGCTTCCTTAAGTTTCCGCATCACTTACCTCCCTGTCTCTTTGTAAACCTGTGATAACATTCACTGGATACTTTTTTAGAATTTGTGTAGATAGCAGGGCACGGCACCCAGGTTAGGCATAGGAGCCAGCCTGCCTGGGTACGAGCGCTGCCTTTACTAACTCTCCCATGACCTGATTAACTGGCGAAGTCTCAGTTCTCAGATCTGTAAGATGCAGGCGATATTATTAGTCCTTTCCTCAAAGGACTATTGAAAGTAGATCAACAAATGCCTATGAAATGCTTAGAACAGGCTTCCAGCTTCCGATGTGGCACAAACGAAACTTGAAAGTCACCGACCCATAAATGAATGGGGAAAGATACACCATGCTAATGCTAGTTAAAAGAAAGTAGAAGTAGCTATATTTTCAGACAGCACAGATTTCAGAGCAAGGAGTGTTATCAGAGATAAAGAACATTCCATAATGACAAAGGGGCCAATTCTCCAAGAAGACACGACAATCCTCAATGTGTATGTGCCAAACAACAGAGCATCAGAATACACTACAATCTTCAAGTTTAGTTCTACCAGAAGTAAACACAGTGCTTTGGCCTCTGCCTGCTTTCGTTGGTTTTACTGTTAAAAAGTATGTGTGTGTGGGGGGGGGGGGGCGGTGGTGGAGGGCTTCTATTAGATATAACTGTTCCAGTTGTGGGTTGGTTAGAAACTCCACATGCTTGACAATAAACTATTTGTAAAAAAAAAAAAAGAAAGAAAGAAACTCCACATGGATTTTTATTAACTTGTATTAACTTTTTAAAGGTTTACTTATTTTTGAGACAGAGACAGAGTGTGAGCTGGGGAGGGGCAGAGAGAGACAGAGAGAGAAAGGGAGACACAGAATCTGAAGGAGGCTCCAGGCTCTGAGCTGTCAGCACAGAGCCAGACACGGGGCTCGAACTCACGAACCGTGAGATCATGACCTGAGCCGAAGTTGGATGCTTGACTGACTGAGCCACCCTGGCGCCCCTCCAGGTAGATTTTTAACGTCACACCTTAGGAGTCTTGCTCCGGGAGAAACTTAAGAGTAGGAATCACGCTGTGGTTGAGTTTTAATCTCTCTGACCCCCTGCCCAGCAGAAAGCCTGGCACAAAGTAGGTCCTCAGGAAATACTTGCTGATAAGATGGATGTTTGAGGAAAATAAGGTCTGTGGCAGGCTCTGCAGAGATGGGGAGATGTGGATTTCCTTCTTTCTCTCAGAAACCGGAGTTGGTATCTGTTGATTTCACCCTATCCTATTTCACTGGGGACTGATGCAAGGTTTCTGAGGAGGGATGGAACACCCCATCTTCAGGCCTAGTGCAAGGGTAAGGTCCCCAGAACACTTGGAGAGAGGAGCAGAACTTGCAGGAAAAGAAACAAGCCCCTCGCCCGTGGCAGTGGGAGGCTGAGCCTGGAGCTGCTTGAGGGGCAGGATCCACCTCCCGACTGGTGGATCAAGGAGGTGTGAGCGTCCCATGGGCCAGTGGATCCCGCGAAGCGGAAGCGCGCTCAAGCCCTCATGAAGGCACAGAAACTTCCAGCACAGTTAGAAGCAGTGGGGCGAATCTCTGGGGGCTGAAACCAAGGGGCATGTTGCCCCCCATCATGGAAAGCCTGCCTTTATACGCTGGCCACACGGAGGACATCGGTGGCCATGTTGCGTCAGCACCAGTGAAACAGACCTCTGTTGTCTTTCTCCAAATCCAGTGGATCAAGTGATATGAGGGGAAGGGGGAAGGAGGATGAGGAGTAGGTTAGGCCTGAGCTGAGCCGAGGGCAGATGCTTGGAGCCAGCCGGGAGGCTGAAGTCTCTGTTTAGCCCGGACTGGTCGCCTAGATTCAGAGGGCAAGGGACGGTCGCCAAAATGGGATTCACCGGCACAAGGGACTAGAAAGCTATGGGCTCTGCTTGGGGTCATTTCAAGGGGCAGAGAGACTGAGGAACCAGCAGAGTGTGCATGAAGGCAGAGAAGGTTCTGGCTGAGTCAGCAGCACGTGGCCTCCTGGTGAAAGGAGGAGCCGTGTGGCAGGAGGAGGGAAGAACCCAGCGTGGGCAGAGGCCGGGACTCCCCGAGTCCTCCAGGGGAGACTCAGGAGTGCCTTCCCACTCTGTCCGGCAGCCGCACAGAGAGCACGCAAAGACTGCCTGGGACAAGGGGCTCCCTCTCCAGGCAACCTGATCTATTTTTGAGCATCGTATTAGAAAGCGTATTCACTTGATCTGCTTTGCATCCCACGCAGCAGTGTTCCACACTACACGGAGCAAGCCCACTCCCTTTGGACATTGGCACATGGAGAACAAGACCTCCATGGGTCACCCCTTCTCCAAAAAAACATGGCCCCGGCCCCTCCTTCTCCACCTCCTTAGGCAAAGCAGGTACAAATCCACACAGCCCGTGCTGATTGCATTTTTTTTTTTGCTTTTATTTTGAGTGTGAAGATGTGAGTACCATGACAGGTGGGGACCCTCCCTGTCCCTCCACTGTGGCCTGAGGGAGGAGTGGGAATCTCCCAACTGTATAGGCTTGGGATCAGCAAGCGGTCCAGACCGTCTCCTCCCCTACATCCATTCAGAGAGTCGCTGGGTCAGGTGCCTCTCTGTTCTGCAGCATTGATGGGCTTGAGGGCTGGAGCAGGGACACGGGGCTCATGGGAATGTGCAAAAGTGAGTAAGACTCAGGCCGGGATGGAGCCAGCCCAGCCTGGGAGTGATGGGGGGGGTGGAGGTGAGGGTGGGGAGGTGCATGTGCTGGAAGCCAGGGGTCCCATCCAGGCTGGCTTGGGGGACATCGTGGATTTCCCAGGCTGGACAGCATGGGCAGGGGGCTCACTCCACAGGCGAGCCCTGCCTGTGCCATGTTACCCCCTTGGGCCCTTTAATTGGCCACATCGATGGACAGCATGGCCTTGATTGCAGGGAATTTGTTGCAGGAGAAGTCGGCGAGCAGCTGCTTGGTGCCACTCCTGGTGGGCAGGATCTCAAAACGCACCCGGGACCGCTCCTTGGGGCGTAGGGTTGGCACGCTGGTGGGGAAGGGCACGGTCAGTGTCGGTGAGAAGGCTCATGGACCTCAGGCTAGATGGGCCCCCTGCAGCCTCAAGTCTTGGGCTGATGGGGCTCCCTCTGGCTCCCTCCCCGAGTCTAACCCCCCCCACTAGCTTGGGGCCCCTCAGCAGGGGAGGGAGGGAGTCCCATGATCTCCTACATACAGAGAGCCCTGAGGACGAGCTCCAAGCTCTGGTGATCTGGACTTCCCGGGAGTTCAAGTCTGGGAACCCCCCAAACTGGATGCAAATGTGCATTCCCACGTGCAGATTCTCCCTGGCGGCTGTGGGGAGGCCCCCCTCTGACTCCCTCCCACCACCCCACTCCAGCCCCTCAGGCCTGGGACTCACTCAATCCTGAGGCTGCCCAGCAGCAGGCCGCTGCCCTCCACCATCAGCACACAGTCTGTCACCGGCTCATCCAGTGGGTTGGAGAAGAGCATCTGCACATTCACGGGCTTCTGCACCCGGGCCTGGTCCAGCATCTGCGAGGAGAAGAGTTGATGGAGTCAGCGCATGGGCTGCTAGCCTCACCTGACACTTGGTGAGGGCCCACCAGCCTGGGTTGGCAACTCGGTGATGGGAAGACCGACATGCAGGGCCTTCCTAGGAAATTGTTGCTGTCTGCCATGTTTCTGATGGGACACCCAGGCTCAGAGGGAGAGGCGGCATGCCGTAGTAGTCGAGAGCACTGTACATTCCCTGCCGTTCTTCCTGGTCACGCTGGGAAGGGCAGCCCCACTTCCAGGGACGGCCCCACTCCATGTGAGCTGCTCAGAGGGCTGGGGACTGTTTCATTCTGAACTTAGAAACTGTACTTTCCCGGGGCGTCTAGGTGGGGCTTGAACTCATGAACCGTGAGATCATGACCTGAGCTGAACTCAAGATCAGGATGCTTAACCGACTGAGCCACCCAGACGCCCTTTGGAACAAAGTTCAGATTTCATGGTCTGATTCCACAGGATAACGTCCTCAAGGTTTGCTGCTAATGTGTGCTGGATTAGACAGTGGGATTCCACTCAAATCATTACCTTTGCATACAGATTACCCTCATGAGTTTAAAAATCTGTGCCCTGCTCTGAGTGAGCTGTACACTGATTCCTTCAAATCAAGGTAAGAACGTGTGATGCTCTGAAAGTTGATGTCAAGGTGAGATTGTGTCTGGAGCAGATTCACACAAAGATGTCCGAAAGAAGAGAGATCAGATGCCTTCTTAAAAGACTAAGTAAGAAAGTTCTTGGTGGCGCATTTCTAGCCTACTTGTATTCTGATCCTTTCTAAAGTTATTACAATCTCTTTAAAGACAAAGACCACTCGATATGGAAATCCAAAAGCAACAGTATTGCACAACAGTGTTGAATAAAAGATAAAAGATAAAGCTGGAGGGGCACCTGGGTGGCTCAGTCGGTTGAGTGTCCGACTTTGTCTCAGGTCATGACCTCATGGTTCATGAGTTCGAGCCCAGCGTCGGGATCTGTGCTGACAGCCCAGAGCCTGGAGCCTGCTTCAGATTCTGTGTGTGTGTCTCTCTCTCCCTCCCTACCCTGCTCATACTCTGTCTCCCTCTGTCTCTCAAAAATAAATGAACATTAAAAAAAAAAAACACACACACACACATTAAAAATTTTTTTAAAAGTTAAAGCTCTAAGAATGCTTGAGGATACTGGATAAAGGAGTATAATGGGGGGTGGGGAACTACCTTCGCTTAAAAAATGATCATTTTAGCACAGAAGGTTTTCATAACTGAACCAGCTGCTCCCCAGTGGCCCCTCCCAGCCTCAGCTGTCCGTCATGTCTGCAGGGAGGACACACGGTCTTGGATATGCCTTGGGAAGCAGGAGAGGCTTTGGAACACGGGGGACAAGCACCCACTGACAATGAGGACTTGCGAGTGGGGAAAAATGCAAGCTGGGAGCCCAGTGCCCTGCTCCAGTCATGGTTATTTTACATATTCTGATTAGCTTCTAAGATCTGGTACCAGGGGAGCCAGTGATGGGCCCAGAGCAGGGGCAGGGCCTCCCCAGGGGGAGTTTACAGACCGGTGGGAGAACGCAACCAACATCAAGTGCACGAATATGGATATAACTTCAACTAGGACAGATGCCATCAAGTAGGAGCACAGAAGTCTGTCGGGTGTGTAACTGGAGACCGAGCCTAATTTGGCGGGGCGGAGAGGGGGCGCGGCAGGAAAGGCTTGTCTGGGGAAGTGACCCCTGCAATGGGAGGTATTTTATTATCACTATGACAAAGTTAGAGCAACGGAGACACAGAGATCAAGGGACTTGCTTGAGGTGGCTGCTGATAAATGGGGGGGCCTGGATCCAAGTCAGGCCCAAGGGCCGAATGGCTGCCCCTCTCTGCTTTCCCCTAAACTCCCTGTCCAGTATGCACTGGCTGCCCTTCTGAGGTAGGGGACCACTCCCCACTCTGAAGCACAGTCTAGACCAATCAGCATAGCAAAAGAGCTCAGTCACAGCCTAGCTGCCTGGGAGCGGGTGTCCTGGGTCCCTGTCCTCTGAGGTCAGGAATCCCTGAAGCTAGGGAGCAGCTTAGGGAGGGGGTGGGACCAGGACAGCCACAATTATCTGACTCTTCTAGAAATCTGGGGCTCGGGATGCCGGTGGCATTGTTATTGGACAGAAAAGGCAAGCACTGTCTAGACGGCTGGGGCAGACAGTAGATACAGCAGATGTGGGAAGACCGGACCCAAGAGGTTCTCTGTGGGAACCCCCAGGAAGACGCTGTCTCCTCTGTCCATCCACCTGTCTGTCGTTGCCTGCCAGCACCTCACCCCTCAGATCTGCGCTGTCTGGCTCTGGGGGTGGGAGCTGTACGTCCCCGGGGCTAGAGAAGAAGGGACAGGCTCCAGTGCTGAGGAAGGGACAGAGTGGCCCCAGGAACCTCCCGTAGACCTGCAACACCCCCCCCCCCACACACACACCTGGGCTCCTGGGAAGGAGCCACAGCCAAAAGCAAGCCCTAAAACCAGAGACAGAGATATCTTCATCCTCAACCACCGTGAAGATGCTATTGCTGGCTGTGGCACTCGGATTCCTGGAAAGGGCTCTGAGCCCCGAGGTCCAGCCCAGGCTCTGGCAGTGACGGCTATTCCCTTCTCTTCTCTGGGCTTCAGTTTCCTCATGTGTGAAGTGGCAGGGAATGGGGGCATAAGAGGAGGCTTCTAGGAGCCCATGATTGCGTAACTCTGGAGTCTTGGAAGTGAAGAGACGCAAGTGAGTGGTGCCCATTTCTGATAACGCTCTGCAAATGGGGCCAGGGGCTGGGCTGTGGGCTTCCTGCAGGCAGGACCCACCCCTTGTGAGTCTCTGTGATTCTAGGGCCCAGCACAGCCCAGACCATGGCAGGTGCTCGGAGCTGAGTGGGCGATCGAGTTGAGGAACCCCTCTGGCTGTGTCTCAGAAGATGCCTGCAGCGTATCTGGAACCCGAAGCAAAGCCCACGGGCAAATGCGCTTATTTAATACCGGAAACAAGGATGCTGGTCTGAGCAGGAACTCTGGGCCATCTTCTTGGCGGAGGCTGGAGACAGGCTGGGTCTGGGTCCCTGACCCTCTCAGTGGGGGAAGAGCTGCCGTGTGGTTTGGGGGTGCTGGTAGGGCTGGGCAGGCTGGGGGAGGCACCCGTTCACCCCCCTTTACCTCTAGGGTCAGGCTGGGGTTGTCCAGGATGATGTCCCTTTCGACCACCACCTCAGCCTCGTCCGTGACCTGGCACACGGCGGTGGTCCGGATCATGTTGTCTGCCTTCAGGTACTTCTCGTACTGAGCATATGTAATCTTCATGGGATGCTGTACTTCTGGAAGGAGAAGCCAGGGAGAGCAGAGTGAGAGAGAGTGGGGCTGGACTTCTGGAACCTTCAGAGCTGATACCAAGCCAAGGCGGCGGGAGCCGGCCAGGAACGTCTGCAGCCCAGGGCTTATCAGAGCCCTCCCTGCAGGCCCTGTGGGAGACAGGCTCCTGTTCTGTGCAACCTCTAGAGCTGAGGCCGGGGAGGGACCAGGACTCCGGCTGGCTGGGCAGCCTCCCAGGAGGATGGGCTGGAGACACTTCCCATCCTGGAAAGTGTCCAAGGGCAGGGAAACATACAAATGTTAGCTGATTGCCTAACGATGACAATAGCGATGACAATACAGCATTAACTAGGAAGGGAAGCCAGGGATTGGCCGACTAAATCTAATGGCCTGGGATTATATTGTGACAGCTCCCCAAGGCACCGAGCCACTGCTGGTCTCTCCTGCCTCCGAGTCACCCCCACACACCAGGCAGACGCGGCTTCGGAAGCACTCCCCCCGCCCTCCAAAATCATGTTCCTTCTCGTCCAGGCCACTTCAAAACCTTTCCATGGCTCCTTGCTGCCTCAGAGACGAGAGGAGGATCATAAGGGCGGGGGATGGGGGAGGAGAATAAGAAAAATAAGATAGAAACAAAGAGGGAGGCAAACCGTAAGGGACTCTCAAATACAGAGAACAAAGCGAGGGTTGATGGGGGTGGGGGAGATGGGGGATGGGCATTGAGGAGGGCACTTGTTGGGATGAGCCCTGGGTGTTGTGTGTAAGTGATGAATCACTGCATTCTGCTCCTGGAACCAAGATGACATTGTATGTTATAGCCAACTTGACCATAAATTGAAAAAAAAAGACGTCCTGACCCCTCATTCTGGCCCTGCATCACTGAGTCCAACTCACCTCCCCCTTGAAAGAGCCCTCAGTAGGGGCGCCTGGGTGGCTCAGTTGGTTAAGCACCCGACTTTGGCTCAGGTCATGATCTCGCGGTTCATGGGTTTGAGCCCCGCATCAGACTCTGTGCTAACAGCTCAGAGCCTGGAGCCTGCTTCAGATTCTGTGTCTCCCTCTCTCTCTGCCCCTCCCCTGCTCATGCTCTGTCTCTCTCTGTCTCTCAAAAATGAATAAGCATTAAAAAAAATTTTTTAAAGGGGCGTCTGGGTGGCTTAGTCGGTTAAGCGTCCGACTTTCACTTAGGTCGTGATCTCGCAGTTCGTGGGTTCGAGCCCCGTGTCGGGCTCTGTGCTGACTGCCAGCTCAGAGCCTGGAGCCTGTTTCAATCTGTGACTCCCTCTCTCTCTGACCCTCCCCTGCTCACGCTGTCTCTCTCTCTCTCCTAGAAATAAATAAAACATTAAAAAAAAATTAAAAAAAAAAGAAATAAAATGAAGGCTGAGGATTTGGACATTTATGATTTAAAAAAATTTTTTAATGTTTAAAAATTTTAATGTTTTATTTATTTCTAGGGGGGAGAGAGAGAGAGAGAGAGAGAGAGAGAGAGAGAGGCAGCGTGAGCAGGGGAGGGTCAGAGAGAGAGGGAGTGACAGACTCCGAAACAGGCTCCAGGCTCCGAGCTGACAGCCAGCACAGAGCCCAACGCGGGGCTCGAACCCACCAACCGCGAGATCATGACCTAAGCGAAAGTCGGAAAGTCGGACGCTTAACCGACTAAGCCACCCAGGCGCCCCTCACGTGAATTATTTTTGACCCACAAAAATAGCTCTTCCCTAGAGCTTTGAAGGGAGATAGCAGCCTGGCGATTGCTTCTGGAGTGGGGAAGGCCTCTACTAACGCTGGGATTCCACCTTGTCACCGTCACCGCTGATCTAAAATTCTGCCGGCAGACAGGCTCCTAGGGATGCTGCCTTCTGGCAGGTGTAACACATCTCAGTTTCCCTACAGACAGCGCTCTTTCAAGATGGGCTGTGTAATTAATCCATTTTTATTATGTGAAGCAAATAGCCACCCCACCCTTGTTAATCTGCTTTGTAAGTCCCAACTTTTCATAACAGCTTGGAGGATTTTGCCAATGTGGGCACGCCTGCGTTCTAATCCTCTCAGAGCGCTGGCCTTTCTCTGCTCCGCCTTGCTCCCTTCCCCTGTCTGCGCTACCCAGGGCCCAGGAGAGGAGTCTCTGTTCCTCCCCAGTCCTCTGGCCTCCAAGAACACCCATCGTGGCTGAGGGGAATCAGGAAGCTCCCCTCCTGGATGCGGTGTGGGAAGGAACGCTGGACAAGGTTTAAGACCCTGCCCTATATTGCAACCCTCCCAGGGGCAAATCTGAAAAGGGATTCATTGTGGGGTGGGAATAGGGAGCGATGGGGTGGAGGGTGCAGCATGTGTGGGGGGGTGGCAGACACACAATCTAGAAAATGGGGGGTGGGCCTGGATTTAGCATCAGGACACCCAGGGCCAAGACCCCGGTACTGCCGCTTACTCATTACGAAGCTTAATCTCTTAAGCAAGGCCACAATCTCTCCAAGCCTCAGTTTCTGCCTCTGCAGAAGGGGATACTGAAATGTACCCATTTTAGAAGATCAGATGAGAGAGGATATAAGGAAGCTCTCTGCACACTGAGCAAAGTGGGGTGTACCTGTAAGGGACATTGCAGTGTGGCTCTTAACTGCCAAAGCCTCCCTCCATCCTCCCCCAAGGTGTAGACGGATTTGAGTTGGCACTGCCCTGACGTGCGCTGTTCACCGTGACAATTTTCAAAACTTCAAAACCCAAGGCTTAACCACACCGACCATGGGCTGCTCTTCTCTGAGTCAGCTGAATCCGTTCCAACAGGAACTCCCCAACCCGGAAAGAATATCAGGCACCTTGGACGCGTGGCGTCTCCGCCAACCCCAGGATGACTTACCTTCTTTGGGATCCAGGGATATGGTGACAGATTCTTTCCACACTTCGTGTACCAGCGTGCCATTGTAGACGATGGTCCAGGCTGTCATGTTCACGGTCACCGTCTTCATGTCGTTCGTCAGGTTGTTGAGTATCAGGGCCATGTTGACTTCTTTGCCCACCTCCAGGATGCCGGTGACCTTGAACTTTCCAGAGATGCTGGGCTCCCTTCCCTCTCCTTCCACGTGTCTCGCAGACGTTGCGCCAAAAGCTGGGTGAGGTTTAAGTTTCCCCAAAGCCTTTTCAAACACTTGTCTCTCCTGGCTGGAACCTGGGTGGTGGGAAAAGAGGGGCGTGTCTCAGAGAGGGGGAGGCAGCTCGGACAAAGGATGGTGCTCTACCTGGAGAGGCAGCGTGGGACTAACTGGTCTTGCTGCTGCAGCAATGACTCTGATCCAGGCAAGTGTCCACTCTCTCTGGGGCTCCATTTCATTCCCCTCAACGCGAGGCTCATGGCCCAGGCAGTCTGTGGTGCTTTCCCAGTCAGCCCCACATTTCCAAGGAGCTGAAGGGAAAAAGCGTCAGCTTTTGGCACTAAATTACCATAAGGCTTGATATTTTGCTCAGGTTAATTAGGTTAGATTGCTTGCTCCTTTTCTTTGTCTTATTTATTTATGTTTGGATAAAAGGTTCCTTGTGAGAACAAACAGATACTTTCAAAATAAGTACCAGGGACGCCTGGGTGGCTCAGTTGGTCAAGCGTCAGACTCTTGATTTTGGCTCAGGTCACGATCTCATAGATCATGAATTCGAGCCCCACGTCAGGCTCTGCGCTGACAGCACGGAGCCTGCTTGGGATTCTCTCTCTCTCTCTCTCTCTGTCTCTTCCCCTCTCACACTCGCTCTCTTTCTCTCTCTCAAAATGAATAAATATACATTTAAAAAAGAAAAAGTAACAAAAACGGAGTTGAAAAAAGAGTGAGTTCATAAGCAAAAAGAGGGAAAAAAGTTATGATTTAGAATTGGCTTCATTAAAAAAATGTTTTTTTCCAAACCACTTCACCATGTTATTCTGCTTTGTTTCTAAAGGTATTTGGAGGTCAAAGAGTGGCACTTTTGCCCATGTCAAAAAGAATTCCCCATGGTTGGTCTGATTCCACTTTATGACTAGTTTAAATTGTCGAGACTTCAGGCTTTAAAAACACAAAGGATGGATTTTCTGACTCTGACTCAAATTGTGAGCATTGCTAAATGTGATGCTACAAATGGCCCCCCGAGAATGGCCATGGTGACACTCAAGGTCATGGCTCTTGGGCATTAAGGTGAGTAGCCACTTCCAAGCCTCTGGGCCAGTGTTGACCACACAGTTCACATAAGACCCCCTGCCTTGACCTGAAGATAGACCCACGATCAAGGAGAAGGTGTATTGACCTTCCAGAAACCCGGGCAGACATACACAAAGAATTACCATGTTTATATCTGTAGACCATACTTATGGTCCCCATCTTCCCCGACCAGCTTGTGACATTTTTAAGACACCAGGTGACTTATTGTAAGCACTTTACAACTTAGCGAGGTTTTTCCCGTAAGTTACATGTAACAACTGGCTGAGACCTCAGAGGCCAACTCATCCAAGCCCATTATACTAAAAGTAAGATCTTAAGAGAAGAAGCAACTGATCCAAGCAACTGGTCTAATTATGGGGTTAGAGGTGTAGAAGGGGGTTGTCCCCAGGTGTCTACACCTGTAGTCCAAGGTTACCCCCAAACATCCTACTGAAAAGGAGACAGGCAGCCAGATTACCCAAGCTGATAGCTCCTGGTGGGCTGGGTTCTTTCTGGTGCCTTCCCATCTTCCAGCAGGGTTGTAAGTCCACACCCAGGGCTGATGTCTGTGCCGGGAGCTGAGCCTTCTGTCCCCAAGACCTCAAAGCAGGCGTGTTTGCACAATGAGGCTCAGAGCCCAGATACCTATATAGGTCACCTGCTGAGCTTACTCAAGACAAAGCTTCCTGCTACCGTCTTCTCCCTTGGTGTTGCCATTGCGCAAATGCTTAGCAACCCGTTTTATGAGCTTTTCCTCCCCGGGGCCCTCGGAGACAAGCTGGTATCATTAGGTAAGGAGAGCCGGGAACAGCAAGCAGGGTCATAGGCTCTGTTGTCACACAGAGGCTGGAGCACTGCCAAGAGTCCTGTGTGGAATCACCCCAACCGGGCCATGGCCCAGCCCTTCTCCATTGGTTCGGAGGTTTGGCTGGGACTGTCAGAGCTCCTCAGGAAGCAGAATCAAGGTGTGGCAGCAAGGTAAGGAAATCCACAGAACATATGTCCAAGTACACTTCAAAATGCACCTTGGGAGGTCACTTTTCCAGGGAAGCGACAGATCTCCAAGTTGATAAAAATCACCACCATTTAATACATCTGCACTGTGCCAGGCACTGCACTTGGCCCTTGCTGGGCACGAGCTCATTCAAGTCCTACTGAAGACAGGCATTGCTGTGCTCATGCTACAGGTGAGGAAGCCAGGGACCAGAAGTCCTAAGTCTCCTGCATGAGGTCTCCTGGTTATAAGCATACGGCTGGAATTGACCTGCGATCCCCTGGCCCCTACACTCGTTTCTACATCATGACAGTGTTAAAAATTCTTCTCCTACATCTCCCTTCCCCTTGGACTATGAGCTCAGGGGGGGCAGGGGCCCCACCCACTGTGTCGCTCATTGCCTCCCCAGAGCCGATCACAGAACGGGCACTTGCTGGGTCTCACTATGTGTTTATTGACTGACAGAAGGGCTGTCTGATCCCAGATGTGGGGATGACCTGCAGAGGCAGACTGGGGACCAAACTGAGGCCACCGATCTCATTACCCCAGGCCTATGCTTCCAAATATCCACAAATACTACTACCCAGAGGGGCTCCCAGACATGGGATTAAACCTCGTCTCCGGTACTCTCAGCTTTCCTCTTTCGTAAACTGCAGCCGACACCAACAGCCAGCAGTTGTCAGTTTTGGGGTTCACTTTAGGGCGTGCTCTGGGTCCCTTTAGGAGAGCACTTTTCTTGACCGCCAGCATCTGTGTTCTGTGGGGATCAACCAAAGTGTCTATTTCCAAACACATTAGAGAGAGAGTTGTGACCTCGTACGGAGTAACAGGCTTGCTAGAGCCTTTGTTCGTTCACTCTTGGCTGTTTCCACAAATGAACATCACCTTCACATGTGGAACTTTGTCACTCTGGAGAAGCCCCAATGAGATCGGCTGCTGACTCCAAAGCAGCTTCCAAACTAGAGTAACTAATGTAATTTGCACAAGGCAGCTTTGTAGCAACGAGCCTTCCCAGTGAGTCATGGGGGATGCTTAAGGCTTCCCTGGGGGGCCTCTGATGCGTGTGGAGCATGGGGCCACATCTTTGGGGACTTTGTCCATTTCTTTCTTTTTTTTTAATTTAAAAAAATTTTTTTTGAGATAGAGAGAGAGAGACAGTGCATGCAGCGGAGGGACAGAGAGAGAGGGAGATACAGAATCTGAAACAGGCTCCAGGCTCTGAGCTGTCAGCACAGAGGCCAACGCAGGGCTGGAACCCACAAACCTTGAGATCATGACCTGAGCTGAACTTGGACACTTAACTGACTGAACCACCCAGGCGCCCCACCATTTCTTAGTTCAGATAGTGTTTCCTGCCTGTGTTTCTTGGAGGCTAGAAATTTCTCCTCAAGCCCTGGACAGCCTCTCATGGGAGTCGCGTTTCTCCCTGTGATGTCCAATCACAGGGCTGTCATCCCAGGTGTGGGAAAGGGACTCGGCTGGAGAGGAGCCCCACTGTCAGCTGCCGTGCCCTGCGGCAAAATTCCACCCGCACCGTGTCTGCCTGTGATGGTTCCCTCCCCACTGGAAACAGTCAGAGGAGCTGGGCGTTAGGTGCCAGGGAGTCCTCCCATTCAGGCTCAATGGGCTGAGAGCACAGGAGAAGGTGAGGAATTTTCCCCTTCTCCCCCCTCGAAGCCGTCTTCCCACTGCCAGTCCCGGCAGTGCCTTGCCTACCTTCTGGATACTTGTACTTCTCCGTGATGTCCATGCGAGAGCTGCTGCCCACCGCCTTGGTGCTGATGTACTTGCCGATGCTGTGAGTGTCCAAGGAATTCTGCTTCTGTCTGTTGCTGTGCACATCATAGATCCAGGTGATGCGGTCGGCATTCACCTCCGCGAAGACGAAGGGCATGTCGAAGTCCAGGTTCACGTCACCCTCCCGGATGGCGGAAACCGACGCGGGGCCACACTGGTACACCCCTGGTGGCCAGGTGCAGAGATTAGACGCGAGCCACAGCCAGCCCCGTGTGCCAGAGCCCGCTCCCGGGGAGGCCCCCCACGGCGACACAGCCTCACTGCCTCTATCCCCTAATGCTCCTTCAGCTCTGGCTGCCTCATTTGGCACTCGGCTCAGACCCTCCCTGGGGGTACTGTTATCTTCTGTGGTGACGCCCTGCTCAGACCACGCTTCTATAGAAGACTGGCCTGTCCTGTATCCATGAGTGCGAGATGGCCGCTGACCCGCTCGCTGCCTCCTGAAGGAGAAAAACTCGCCATCTTGTCCTCAGGGCTGCTTCTTTTCTACCTTCCCAAGCCCTCACCCCCTATTCCTGGAAGAATGCCCTAAACTCAGCTCACAGGACACTTGCTCCTCTGACACTTGGGACAAGTAGATCAGATAGAGCAGGAGTAGATGTAGATCCATAAGATACAGTTTCATTTGATACTCAGAATGAAGATAGCAAACAAGACATGCCCCACAAGTCATAAGTGGGAAGAAGGAAGATTCCTGGAGCATCTGGAGCTCAAGGCTCAAAGGGCGAGCGAGGCCAGAAGTGGGAGCCAAAGCTCTGGGCACCAGGACAGGGACGGGGCCAGCCTGCGTGAGGAGAGCTTGGCTTGGTGGAGGGACATGCTGGAAGGGACAGAGGTGCTGGGAGCCCTGATCACCGAGGCCTCCAGCTGAGCAGGGGACTCTGGGCTAAATCCCAGGGCAACAGGGACCAGAAGTCTTCTGTGCTGAGAGGGATGGGCTCCTAGAGGCGGTGTGGGGAAATCACTGTTTGCAGAGCGTGGCGTCTTTCCCTGGCTGCCTGGCACGTGCCAGGGCCTCCACAGCAGTGACAACAGTCGCAGGGGCGCAGGGAAGCCACTCATCTAAGGAGCAGCCCGAGCCAAGTGAAATTGGGACAGGAAGCCTATTCTGAAAATATTTTTGTTTTAATTCCATCAAGCGAGCCTTCCTGAGATGGAGAGCACTCAAAGGGCTTTCCCGTGCTGCTGTCCACCAGTGCCCGGAATTGAGAGGCCAGGACATAGGCTGAAACCCAGAGAAGGGAGTGGTAAGCAAGGCCACTAGAGGGTTACCTTGGCTCTTCTCCTGGGGGGTGGCGTCCAGAACCTGCCATCCATTGTACAAGGGGCCCAGGTCAGTCCGCACAAACCAGCCTTCATTCCAGACGTGGAAATTCCTGCAAACAGAAGCACAGATTGCAGAACCGGCCAAAGGCCACACAGCAGGAGGTGACAAATTACCACCTGACAGTGGCGGTGCCCGTAGTTGTCGAGTGAGCTTACTCTGTGCCGGCTCCCATGCTAAACCTTGCCGAGCACTGTCTCACATAAGTCCTCGCAGCACGAGGAACCAGTGCTTTAATGCCAATCTCATAAAAGGAGAAACTGAGGCTCAGAGATGTTAAGCAGCTTCCAATGGTACGGTCAAAGTTTGGACCCAGGCATCTCGAACCCCCAAATCTGAGGCCTTGACCACGATGTTCTACTGCTTTCTGAGGAGCAGAGTGGCTGGCTCTGGGTTAGAGCAAGCACCCAAGCGAAGGAAACCCACACAGCTTCTTCTGTGGGTCCTTCTGGAATCTCACGTCGGCTGAAGATAAATGGGGCTACAGCAAGAGTGACAGGTCTGGCTAAGAGCCACATGCTTCTGGACTGAGGTCTGGCTGCCAGTGCTCAGAGGTTCTTCATCAACGCCATCCCCTCGTCTCCCAATCTGTGTGTCTCAGTCGTGTGTCCAGGGGTCGCCAATTAGCCAATGGCTTAGTCACCCCTCCCCGCCCCCCCTAGTTCTGCCCTCTCCTGTCCTCTGTACGTCCACTGCAGCTATGTTAGCATTGGCTTTGGCAGCTTTGATCCGACTAGAAGAAGCTGTAAGTCTGACATGAATCCAACTTCTATTCAACTTGGAAGCATATTGTTTTATACTCGTGCAGTGGAGAGAGTCTGAGGCAGAGGGCCGACTCAGAAACCATAAAGGAAAAGATTGATAAATGTGTAGGCAAAGATATTAAACTTGCATATACCAGCCAAACAAGCAAACTGTAGTTCTGTTTTCTGTATGGAGGAGTAACCTCCTTGTACACTGTCCCTTCTGCAGAGAACAATAAACTCTGAAAGGAAAAAACAAAAAACGAAAAAAAACAACAAAAAGAAGCAAAACAAAAATCAAAAAGACAGGACGACTACCTGGGAGTGAACAAAACCAGAGGATTTTGGGAAGAAGTTCGAACCTGGAGGAAGGAGCCAGTATGGGGCAAATTGCACTTTTGGTGACTTTGACCTAAGGTCAGACCACAGCTGGGGTGAGGTGCAGGGCAGTAAAAACTCCAACAGATAGCTCACATGTTTCTGACCCAAGGAGCCAAGAAACAGCCTGGGTCAACCAGGGCCACTAAAGAGTGGGAGAGAAGCCCTGGAAGAGAAGGAGTCAGAGAAAGAAAAGCCCAGTTTTGTATATAAATTCTGCCCAAGCCTCTGGGTGACTCTGACCCATGCATGTATATAGCAGACAGCAAGCAGTTGGCTAAAGATAAAAGAAGTGAGCTGAGATTTGAGCTATTTCCTGCCGTAGGGTGAGACGGGGCTTGCAGTTTGGACCCACCCCAGGCAGCCTGCTGAAATAAAATAACAGAATCCAGACATACCCAGTGCCCGGGATACAGTCCCAGATTACTCAACGTACGAAGAACCAGAAAAACATGACCTATTCTTCAACGGAAAAGGCAACAACAGAGAGTAACCTTAAAATAATATAGATGTTGGGATTATTAGACAAGGACTTCAAAGTAGCTATCGTAACGAGGTTCAGTGAAATATGGGGAAACAGGGCAATAGCAAGTGAAAAGTGAAGAACTTTCAGCAGAGCAAGAGAAACTATTAAAAAAAAGAAAGAAAGAAAGAACCAAATGGAAATACTCTACGGAAAAATGACAAATATCCTAAATTAAACACCTCAATGGATGGGCTTACTCGCAGAATTGAGAGGACAGAGGAAAAGTTCTGTAAACTTGAAGATAGACCAGCAGAAATTGTCCAGGCTCAGGGCGCCTGGGTGGCTCAGTCGGTTAAGTATCCGACTTCGGCTCAGGTCATGATCTCACGGTCTGTGAGTTTGAGCCCCGTAAGTACTTATGGGGTGCCGCATGACCGTGCTAGTCCTGCAGGGAACAAAGGGTATAGTCAGCTCCAAACCAAGGCACGAGGGGAAAAGGCCATAAGAGATGAACAAACAGATAAGTAAGAATAATAGTGAGCAAGAATATGAGTGGGGAAAAAGAACACTCTTTTTACTACTGCAATGAACATAGGTCATCACAATCTTTCTGGAAGGCAACAGCAATAGATGTCAGAAGCCTTTAAAATGTCCATCCCCTTTAACCCAGGGCATGCCATTTCCAGAAATCTTTCTTATGTGAACAGACGTGTTCACAATTTACATCCGAGAATGCCCATTACTGTGTTATTTATAACAGGGAAAAGAAGGGAAATCGATAGGTCACCTAGGGAATAAGGACTAGTAATAGTAACAGTAGGAAAGAAATGATCGTCCCACCATAAGTGGAATCTGATACACTTGAAATCTTATTTTTGAAGATTATTTAAAGATGAAGGGAAAATGCCAACGAAAAAAGACGAAGGGGTAATGTTTTGACAAAAGCACAGGACTTTTACAAAATAAGAAAGAAACAGAACAGTGAGGTTGGTTTCCAGGCGTGGGGAAAAGGAGGAGGCACCTATGATATGCTTTGTCTTGTAGCTGCCTCGTAAAATGGATAATCCCAATCCCATAAACAAGAGCAACTGATGGAGGAAAGATTGGCTGGAAAACTATCAAATAGTAAAAGTGTGTGACCAATAGGATTACAGATGACTTCAATTTCTTCGTCTATTCTGAAATTGCCTGTAACTGTGAGGAAGAAGAGTCATCATAAAAATTATTGCTAGGAAGATCCACAAAATGTGTTGTTGAAGGGGCCTCCAAGATTGAGGAGAGGTCACCGAGGAGAAAGCAGGGGGTGCAAGGTGATGAAGGGACAGGACGGGGATGGGACGGTGGTCAGAACACCAAGTTTCACGTTCGTCTAGTTCCTGGCAGAGAAACCTAGGGGAAGGGCGGGACCATATGAAAAATTAGTAAGTTGCTGTATTTTAATATTTATTTGCAAGGCAGGAATTTCAGACGGAGCAGATAACAGATACATCCTGGTCCCTCCCTCATGTGGAAGCCAGAACTTTACTCACAATTACTTGGGATGCATGTGCCTTGCAAATGCCCAAGGGCACCACCATGGAGATTCTGGTTTGTTTCTGACTGTGTGCCTTGCCCTCTCCTACCTCCCAACCTTGGGCTCTGTTCCAGTCTCGAGGGGTTTCAGGAAGAGGAGGGGCTCAAGGAAAGGACACCCTGTATGTAACAGAACTACCTGATACATTTACTAAGAGATGTGAATTCCCCTATCTCCCTCCACCTAAGTCAAGTCTAACGTAATCTTGGAAGTTTATAAACTATTGCCCTAGCGATAGTATCTGAGTTATGCTGAATTCATGGGGTCAGGAGACCCCGTCTAGAAAGGGACCCCGAAAGCCCTGTCCCTTCCACTGGTAAACTCCCATTTGTCCTAAATGCAGTCCAGATATCACCTCCTCCAAAAAGTCTTTCCTGAGACAGTGCCGGCCACACATCTGTGCTATCTCTGAACCGTGCACATCATGTAGTTATTTGACTTTTTCTACTCTGTCATTGCCAGTCTTCTCATGCAGCTGTGAGCTCCTCCGGCACAGTTTCTGCATCTCACTCCTCTTGGTGCCTGGGGCCCTGGGCAGGGTCTGGCACAGGGTACACACTTAATCATGTTTTCTGGAGCCCAGGCCATCCTTGGAGCCTTGATCTCCCTGCTGCAGGTCTGAGCGAGGCACATTGGGGTGGCTAAGTGTTCACGGAGGCTGGTAGCCATGGGGAGATTGCATCAGGAGCTAACAAGTCAGACTGACATGTGATCACCAACAGCTCTTCCCCAGAACTGGGCAGCTCCACCCCCACCCCTTGACAGGGCGGGGCACTCCCCACGTGCCTTCCATCTCAGAGCTATATGAAGTCTACAAGTAGAGTCAGGTCTGTGACTCTAGAAATTGGAGAATCAAGTCAAGGGAATTGAGAAAACAAGCCAGAAATGTCAAGGTAAAGATAACCTTGGCCATACTCTTCCAAATCCTTTGCTTACTGCTCAGTGACAGAACAAGGTGGCCTCCTCTACAGTGGCTCAGAAAGGAACCGAATAAAAGAAGCATCCAAGACGAAGCTCCCTGCCCCCACCCCAAAGGAACCTGATTCTCGAGAAGTGAATACTCCGGAACCTTGTCTCTCTTAAGCCAAACCACCAGCATCAGCAGAATGGCTTAGAAGAAAATGTTCCCCACTGGAGGCTGTTAATGTGATTCGAAGAAAGATCTGGAAGAAATTGCTGAGGTCTCCTGACCTAGCCCTTCGTTTTACAGATGGGAAACTGAGGCAGAAAAAAGTTAAGGAATTTTGTAAAGTCATACACTTCTGTAGAGAGCCTAAATGTCTCCCTTACTTCTCTCCGAACCTTTTTTTCCCCTCATTTATGGAATCAGCAGGTCCCTCCCCAAGATCCTTCTAGTCTCCTAAGGTTCTCTGATTTGGGAGAGTCCCATTGACAGGGATTTGACACAAATTCACAGTTTGACTGTGGGCAAGTCATTTCTCCTCACTGAGCCCATGAGATAGCATTTAGTTTTTTTTAAAAAAATGTTTATTTATTTTGAGAGAGAGAGAGAAAGAGAGCACGCACATGTGCTAGCAGGGGAGGGACAGAGAGAGGGAGAGAGAGAATCTCAAGCCAGCCCCTGGTTATCAGTGCAGAGCCTGACTCTCAAGATAGTCGATCTCACCAATCGAACTGTGAGATTGTGACCTGAACCGAAATCAAGTCAGACACTTACCTGACTAAGCCACCCAGGTGCCCTGAGATAGCGTTCCATCTTACAGAGAAGGACCATCTGCTGCCACAGTGTGAATCAAAGAATCCAGCCCCTCTATCTGCACAGGCTGGATGGCATCCAATCTCACCACAGCCCTGCTTGGCATCCAGCCAAACAGGAAAATCTCGAAGTCAGCAGTGTTCGATTACTCAAGGTAACCCCAGGATAATAGCAATGTTGTCTGGCATCTCTCTGGTGCCTTACAGTTTACCAAGCTGCCTGGGCTCGAAATCCCAGCTCTACCATTTGCTGGTTATATGCCTGGGGTTTGAGTGGGGGCTGACTCTGTGTCTCAGTTTCCTTGACCATAGAATGGGGATAATGACAAAAGTGCCTACCTCATCGTTTCTGAAGAGTGAGTGTAGGCACCGAGAGAAGTGCCTGGCACACAGCAATTGCTCAATAAACCATTTGTTGCTGCTGTTATCAGCAGGCACTACTGGGCAGGTCACCTCACCTGATCCCTACTTTCTGTTACTTTAGGCAAATCTGGGCAAGGTTTAAAAGCTTTCAACATTTGCAACCCACAGAGATTCGAATCAAAGTTTTCCTGTCCAGGGGTGCCTGAGTGGCTCAGTTGGTCAAGCGTCCGACTTCGGCTCAGATCATGATCTCACGGTTGGTAGGTTTGAGCCCCGCATCGGGCTCTGTGCTGCCAGCTAGCTCAGAGCCTGGAGCCTGCTTCAGATTCTGTGTCTCCCTCTCTCTCTGACCCTCCCCTATTAGCACACTCCCTCTCTCTCAAGAATAAATAAACATTAAAATATTTTTTAAAAAGTAAAAAAAAAAGTACATATGCCTAAGAGAAAATGTGTTGCTTTCCTTTTGGAAGGCCCATAAATCATACAAGTTGCCTGAAATAAGACAAATTTATATTTGTTACTGGAAAAGCAATACCTTCAACATCTATCGTTCTGAAGTACAGAGGGTCTAATGGACCCTATAAATCCAGGGCAATTGCTCAGAACCCATGAACCATTGTCTTTCACTGGTATCAGACCCTTCATCTGAAGGCACGGGGCTGGACTGCCAGACTTTGCAGAACCCTGGGAACAGGTGTTTTAGATCTTACTAGATGTCTAATCAGCACTGCCCACATTTCCATTCTAAAGCTTGTGTTGCTGTGTTAACTTGCCTCCCAGCTCCTGTTTGGAGCTGGGTCCCAGAGGCTGCGCAGTCAGAAGCTGCCCAGGGCTGGTGCTCAGCAAGGGTCAACTACTCACCACACACTATCACTGCTCCTTTTCAAGGGTCTCCCATAGGCATCATAGTACACGTCCACACTGAGATTTCGGTCTGTGTCATGAGCTGAGTTGAAGTTGGTGACCACCCGGGAGGGAATCCCGAAAGACCGCAGCACTGCAAGTCAATGGGGAAGTATGAGGACCCAGGCTGTTGTGGAAATGATCCCTGGGGGCCCCCCACTGTTGCCCACTGATGCAAAGTACCTGTGTTGAGGGTCCCAGCAAAGACCCAGCACTGGCCATATCGGACTGGCTTGAAGCCAGACCTTTCCCACTCCTTGAGGATGTCCACACTGCCATTCCACTTCCGTGGGTCCTGGCCACCTGTGTAGTTTCCACTCCAATTTCCAGAAAGCACACCGTTGTCATCATTGCCATTGATCTGGAAAGGAAAAACCCCACATGAATCAGCGTAGAGTTCAGGTGACCAGGTGGGGAGATGAGGAAGGAAACAGGGGATGTGTCAAGCGGATTCTCTGTGTCTTCCTGGCTGATTTGGGGATGATCATTGTAATAACGGTCCTCTAGGAGCATTGAGCAGTTTATCAGTTTAGAAGTGCTTTGCTTAGCGGGCCATGATCGATTGCCCATAACCTATCTATCATTCCTGTGAGCAGGCTCACGTGGCCAACAGAGGCTCCACGGCTTGTCAGTATCAAGGGAGGGTCAGGACACCAGCCTGCAGGTGATTTCCTGCCAGAACTCAGGGGCTGTCATTGATGCCTGACTTGGGAGTCTATGTTTTGAAACTCAATGTTGGTGTGCTGGTCTTCTGAAAAGGTCCCTTTAGAGCTTCAGCAGCTAACTTCTCGGAATGCATAAAGATGGAATATTGCCTTTCATTCATTCACTCACTCACTTCATTCATTCCACTTAAGACATGATTCTTGTAGAAGTAACAAGCAGGATGCAGTGTGAATAGGACACCCTATTAGGAATCAAGAGACCTGAGTTCCACTGTCTTTTAGAGACACAATTAAAGTCTTTATGAATGAAATGATGTCACACCTGGGGTTTATCAAACGATCTGTAAAGGAGGGGGTCAGAGAGGAAACAAGACTGGCCTTGGGTAGTCCAGTCTTGGGATGGGTCCATGGGAGTTCATTTTACTTCTTCCTCTACTTTTGCCAAGGTCTGAGCTTTTCCGTGATAGAAAAGTTAGAAGAGAAAGAAAGGAGAAAGCAAGTTATAAGGCCAACTTTGCCCCTGTCGGCTCGGTGACTGTGCGTAGGTCAATCAACCTCTCTGGGCCTTAGTTCTTCACCTTCCTTCCCATATAGGGAAATGGGAAATGACTTCTAGAGGCCAAGTGTTCAAAGTTTAGGAAACTTTGACAGGCGTTTATCGCAACCATCCAGTAAGAGGCTGCGAGCCCTGCTCCCTCTTTGTGGGGCTCCATGAAGGGCAAGGCCAGTGAGAACAGATAGTCTGGACACAGAAGGATCCTTACCTAGCCTCCCGCAGCCCCTCCGTATGCGGGGTGTGCTCCTCCGCCCACCTTCCAGGAAGGCTTGGGCTATCATTGCAGAACCAGGCAAGATGGGCCTCTTTCAAGATGGAAGATTGTGTAGCCCAGCCCATCTCCTGAGTCACAGGTACCCCAGCCACCGGAGTGGTAATCAGCAGGGTCATCTCCGGCTGAAAGCTGAGCATTTCAAAGCCCTGCACAGGCCATAATTAGCTCCAAGCCCAGCCCGACCAGGAGGTCTGGAGAGAGCGGCAGGGAGGTGCAGCTGAGGCACTTGGCACTGAGATACAGTGCTTTGTCCCCAGGGTCAGAGTGAGTCAGCAAGCTGCCAGAGCCGGCTGGCTTCACCCACCCTCTCCTGGGCCTGCGAGGCTCAGTCTCCCTTAACCTCGGCCTTGGCTCCATCCCATGCCTCTCACGCCACTAGAAGCCCAGGCCCTCCTTCCCTGGTCCTAGCCCATCACCTCTGTGGCTCCACACCCTCTGGGCCTCCCTCTCCTTTCCTGCAAGGCTCCGTTTTAGACTCCGTACTCTCGCAGGAAACCCTCTGGTTAGGAAGCTGTCAGAAGAGTGTTCCCATTTCTAACAATGTCACTAGCTTATTAACTCAGATATGCTCCAACTCAAAAGTAGAGACTCATCCATGAACAACAACCAAAACGTGAGACACTTCAGGGCAGCTCGTTTTAGAGGATTAAAGCTCAAGAATTCTTTAACTTTCAGCTTAAAAAAAATTTTTTTTTAATATTCATTTATTTTTGAGAGAGAGAGAATGCAAGTGGGGAAAGGGCAGAGAGAGAGAGAGAGACACAGAATCCAAAGCAGGCTCCACGCTCTGAGTGGTCAGCACAGAGCCTGACGTGGGGCTCAAACTCACAAACAGTGAGATCATGACCTGAGCCGAAGTCAGATGCTTAACAGACTGAGCCACCCAGGCGTCCCAACAACTTTCAGCTTTTTAATTTGTAACCGTTGAGCAGGTTGATACTATGTTTGGAACACTTTCTAATGGAGGCCTTCTCTACATACTCAGTACCTGAGAGATTCTGTGTGTGTGTGTGTGTGTGTGTGTGTGTGTGTGTGTGTGTGTGTGGTTGTGTGTTTGGGGAGGTGGCACAGGTCTTTCATGTGGAAGAACTGAGTGCATGCAAGAGGCCCTGGCCAGGCAGCTCGCAGACTTGTTCTGGTTTGACTTGGGCTGTGCTATGAGCAAGCCACCTGGGTTCCTTGAGTTTCCCCATCTAGATAAAGAGTGGGTGGGCCCACTGCCTTTCCAGTCTGACATTTGAGCACTCCACTGTGCAGGGCTTGGATCAAAGCCAAGGCAGGTTGATCGCCCCGACTCACTTGGGAACCCACCTTTCTCCCTAGGAGGCCCAGCGATGGAGCAAACTTCCAGCTGTGCACCCTGCTAGCCTGGGGGACGTTGCAAGGGCAAGCACCCTTACCATCTGAGAAAGGCCTCAGGATATATTGGAAAGGGCCTTGGGGCCAGGCAGACTCGGGTCCAGTTCCGCCTCTGCTCTTCACTCACCATGTGTCTCAGGCAAATCCTTGAATTTAGAGGAGTCTCATACTCCATGGGAGCAAAATGGGATGGCAACAGCCACCAGCTCTGTTTTGTGAGTCTTCAATGAGACGACAGATGGAAAGGGCACAGATTCCTACCCCATAGTTGAGTTTGATCTACGGGAGCAACAAGTGACTATGATTTTCCTGCCACTCACCATTGCACTCAGCACTCGGCTAACATATTTGGGGTCGCTTCTGCGGGCCACATCGGTAGCAGGGTCACGACGGAAATTCAGGCTGTGATCCAGGATCGAGAGGCAAATGTCCAGGATGCCTTCTTCAAACTGTTCCAAACGGGACCATCCGTTATGATGAGAGAAATGACAAGCAGCGTTAGCTATTTAAGGGTACAGGATCTGCACACCGATGGGCATCACAGGAATGACTCAGGCCCTTTCACTCTGTGGCCTCCGGGACAGAGACTAGCCACCTCGCCCAGCCTCTAACCTGCGAACTCATCCGGACTCCTCGCCTTACATGAGGGCCCGTGCCAAGGTCCTGAAAGTGGCTAAGACTCCTGCACTGTCATAGCCTTGGGAGCAAATCACTTAGCCTGCCTGGGCCTCGATTTCCCCATCTGTATTACAGGGGATCAGGCCAAGCTCATCTCAAAGTTTCCATCTGGCTCTGACTATGATCTTGAACATAGTCTTCAGACTCCTGGGAGCTAGTTATAAAGATAAAATGTCTCACTAAAAGAAGATTTTGAAGCCATGCTCCCAAAATAAGACTCATTTTTTGCCACTGCGTCTCAGAGAAGGCTGCACTTTCTCCTGCCTTAGGGTCTTTGCATGTGCTGTTCCTTCCGTTTCCAATGCATTTCCCCAAAATATCTATCTGGCTCCCTTCCCTTTTTCAGGTTTCTGATTCAAGGTTACTTCCTCAGAGAGGCTTTTTCAGACCATTCCATCAAAATTAGCCTGCCTTCCATCCCTGGGTACACTATATGTCCTTATGTACTTTTTCCCCTTTTTTCTTCCTTCCAATAAAATTTGACCCAAACGCCAAAGTATAAAACATAGAGCTGACTTGCTCTGGCTGCTACAGATTGGGATCTGGAGGTACATGCTCTGCTCCCTCCCTCCTGGAGAGCCAAGGCACCCCACCCATTCTGGTGTCTTCACCAGACACAGTGGAGGGAACCCTTGAATATTTTCTAGGCTGAGCAAACCTGAGAACTCTGTGGACTCAGCTGAGGGGATAATGAAGGACCAAGAGGCTCCGGCTTTGAGAGGCCAACCTCTCACCCTAGGGAAGTTTTGTCATATTCTTACACAGAATGATTAACAGAAAGTACATTATTATCCCAAGTGCCTCTACTAGGTCTTGTCCTCATTTGTCTATCCTGGCACCAGTAACACCTCAATGAAGAGTTTTAGCTATATATTCGTTTGGCCCACTAGATTGTGTCCTGTCTTCTGAATGAGTAAATGAATGAACAGAAGGGCAGGCAAGTAGACAGATCTGGGAACTTCCACTGGGACCGCCACAGAGCTCCTTATGACCCCTTTACCTGTCCGAAGTTCCAGCCAACCATGCTAATTCGTTTGGTGTTCCCCACATAGATGATGCCAGCATCTTCCAGAACGTACTCCTCTCTCTCAGCTTGTTTACTCATAAAGACACCATCCTCTGTTTGATACAAAAATCAAATATCAGGAACTAGAATCTTACAGAGGACTATAGAGACCAGTTCTCCCATTCCTGAGTCCTGGCCTGGTGTCTGGAGCAAACCACACCTGTAGCCCTTCTACCAACCTCCACTAAGGAGCAAAGTCTGTGAGCTCTAATGCTCCCAACTCATATTGTGGGAACTATAAACTTGTAAGAGAAGCTGAGATGAACTGAAGGTCAGAAAATGAGACCCTAGGAGTGAGATACTTGCTCCTCTGGGCAAGAAGCTGTCTCCATGTTGTAGAATTATACTGCGGTCATTGTAATTGTTCCTTATAATTACACCACATGATGCACTTTGTAGAAACTCATGAGATTCCCACGATAGCCCCAGAGGAAAGACAGGATTCCCATTTAATGGTAAGAAATTTGAAGCTCAGAAGGATAGAGCACCTGCCCAGACTTACAGAGGTGATTAGGTGGCAGAACTGGGATGTAAATCCATGACTTCTGACTTCTGATTTCTACGCTATTTCCATATCCCACAAACTCCCGCTACTCAAACTTGAGCCTATAAAAATCATTCCCCCATATCCTTTCCATCAGTATTGCTTAGCTGATGGCCAGGAGTATGGCTGGCTAGGTGCCTACCTTGCGACCAAGGGTTAAAGAGCAGTATGAACGTCCCAAGTTTCCGAATAAGTTCATTGCCCTGGGAGGAGATCTGGGCGCTCAGTGTGTACTGTCCGATGGGCGCGTTGGCAGGACTGGAGATGGAAATGGTCAGCACGTTGTCCGTGTTGGACACGAGCTGTGCACTCCAGCCATTGCGACTCCTCCCATTGGAGTGTGAAAACACAGCCTTTGTCTTGGCTGACTCTGAGGGGTTAGGCCCTGTGGAAGAAGACAGAGGATGATAAAAACCAAGCCGTGCTGGCCAGACAGTGGGGAGCCATCAGATCCCACCATAACCACAGGGGCACTTTGGAGGGAGATGTCATCCCCTGAAGCACCACGTAAGGGGACTGGAAACAACTAGAGAGAGCAGGCAGACCAAATCTCTCTTGATTTGAAGAGTAGGACTCTTGGGCTCAAAGACAGGCAGAAACTTGCCCAAGGTCACACCAAGTCAATGGCAGAGCTGGGTTAGGACCCAGAGCCTAGTGGCCCAGTGTCACACCACCACCCCTTGGAGGGACAGCCCCAGGGGCTGTTCAGGTGTGTTGGAGGGGAGTGGGGAGCAGGTACCTGTGGAAGCTATGAAAACCAGATTGTCTCCACTGCCAAGACTTCGGTTCAAGACCATTGAGAAACTGAAGGGTTGGCCTCTGCGCAAGGTGAGCTGCTGGCCCGAGAACCTGTCTGTGTGATGTGCCTGCTTATTGGAGGTCACCTGCCAGTTGATACTCTGGAGGTCTAAAGCTGTAAGACAGAAGAGGGGACCTCAGGTCCTGGAAGGCAAGGAAGGTGGCATGGGGAAAGGCGGACGTTCCCCAAAGGACGGCTTTTGGGCGGGGCTGGTTGGAGAAGAGCCGAACTTCTAGGAGGAATCACATTAAAATTCAAAGACCCTGACGGAATGTAGTGAGCACTTCACCACCTTTTCCCTGTTCCGCCCCTCAGCAGCTGGGCCTCTCACGTGGCCGAGAATATCTTCTTTGCCACTAGACCGACTGTCACTTGAGCCTTAAGGAACAAGCCCTGCACTCAGCATGGCTTTACCCAACCAGCCAGGAGGACCAGGGAACCAGTCCTGGGTGATAATCACATTCTGTCGTTTTAACATCATTACTTTGGGGGGATGGGGCGCACAGAGAACTGGGAGGAGGCAATGTCTCTCAAATCTGCCACCCTGGTTTAGCTCGCTTGCTTTTTCCCCTTCACACCTTCCCAGACACCAAGTGCCTTTTTGCACGCCAACATCTGGCCAACGCTGACCTGTGTATTTCTTGCTTGCCCCAGATGTGCAGCACCTGGGTGTCGGCCTGGGCCTCTGTTGCTGGTTGAGGAGGAGAGCAAGACTCCGTAGTGCTCTAAGGGGCACTTCTAGGCCTGGAGATGGAGTTATCACTGGCCTGGAGGGGACTTTCAAATGCTCACTGGCAAGAGTGGTATTTAGCAACAAGTCAAAGCCCCAGGAGATCTCTGGATAAGACCCTGAGGACAAACACCTCGAACTCCTTCTTCTATGATGGTGGAACTAAACTGAGAAGGGTTTATGACACATGCCATGATGTACAAGGAGTGTTGCCTGGATAAACCTTCTGACGTTTTATCATCCATTCCTCTGCCAACCAAACTGTCTTCTGGCTTTATGATGGGAATGTGCTGACGTATCCCCATAGTTGTGCCGGGCACAACTTTTATTTTATATGTCTGTCTCTCTCCACCAGAATGTGCCTTCTTTTATTTTTTAATGTTTATTTATTTTTGAAACAGAGAGAGAGAGAGAGAGAGCATGTGAGCAGGGGAGATGCAGAGAGAGAGAGTGCCACAGAATCTTAAACAGGCTCCAGGCTTTGAACTGTTGGCACAGAGCCTGATGCGGGTCTCGAACCCATGAACCATGAGATCATGACCTGAGCTAAAGTCAGATACTTAATCGACTGAGCCACCTCAGAATGTGCCTTCTTGATCTTCACATTCTGATGCCTAGCGCTTTGCTTGATGGTGTTAGGACAAGTAGATAAGCCAATGGATGAAGGAATAACTGAACAAATAAAAAAAACTAGACATGCAATGGCCATCGTGACTACAGCTCAAAATTTAGTCCATAAGGAAAGGTGTGCAGGGTGTGTCCATTCACTAAACACATATAGAGTACCTAGTATTTGTAGGACACTACATTAAGCGCAATGTCGGGGGTGTAAACACATGTGAAAAGTGGTTTTAGTCCTCCAAGAGCTTCAGCCATGGGTAAGACAAGCCCATATGGGACTAAACGATAGAATGGGGTGAGTCCAGTCTCCCTCAATAAAAGGGGTCTAGGAGATGCAGGCAGAAAGGAATCACTTTCAGGTGCAGAGATCAGGAAAAGCTTCATCGAAAATGCCAGGTCTTGGAGAGACTTGTGTTAAATGCAAAGGGAGCAGCCTGTGTCCCAGAAAATGGGGAGAGAATCTGAAGGCGGGGCCAGCAGGTGTGTTGTTTGGCCCACACAGAGGCTCTGCACACAAGAGAAAGGTGAGGCGGGAGAGAGCGGGACTCCAAGGCAGGCCCGGGGCCAGGGGCTCCCGCCCAAGCAGCTGGGGAGATGGGCACAGGCTCATCAAAGATACTCTAGTGAGGGGCACCTGGGTGGCTTAGTCGGTTAAGCGTCCGACTTTTGCTTGGGTCATGATCTCGCGGTTCGTTGGTTCGAGCCCCGCGTCGGGCTCTGTGCTGACTGCCAGCTCAGAGCCTGGAGCCTGTTTCAGAGTCTGTGACTCCCTCTCTCTCTGACTCTCCCCCTGCTCATGCTGTCTCTCTCTCTCTCTCTCCTAGAAATAAATAAAACATTAAAAAAAAAATACTCTAGTGAAATGCAGGCTGTTTGGGGTGGTGAGCCAAAGACGGCTACCGGAGAGCGGGTCCAGGAAGTGATCTTGCCCCCAGCTCAAGGTACGAAAGATCCATTCGTTCACATCTGCCCATTCACTCATTAATTCATTCAACTGATAGGTATTGAAAGAATAGTGATAAGCTTTTGCAGAAACTCAGGGAAATAAAAAAACCCACGTAGTCAACAAGGATCTGTTGAAGAAAGAGAAGAGCAAAGGGAGGGAAGGAGGGCCAGACGGAGAGCAGAAAGAAGATGAATGTTCCCTGTACAAAAGTACTGAACGGCGACAGCCCAGATCTTAGACACTCTGGCAAACACTGGGCTCTGTATGGCTAGTACAGAGCTCGCTTGGTAGTTGTGTGGTCTTTCTAGGGCAGGGGTCCACCTTTTTAAGCCCCTGTCTTCTCCCAGTCCTGCCAGTTGAGATTTGGTAGACTTTTACTCTCTGTCTTATTTTAGAAAAAAGAAGAGCTCCAAGGAACATGTGGTCTCAGATCACAGAAGTCTCCGGAGATTCCTCATCCCCCACCCAAACCCAAAAGGACGTATACCCTTCTCCCCCAGGTGAAGCTCGCTACTTTAGACCATGAACTTTTTGAGAGCGGAAGGTAATAGTGCTCCACCAAGCACGGGGTATGGAAAGCTATAGCTAGTTTCTGCCTCTCCTCCAAGGGGCCCACATCCTTCTTTGCTCCGCCAAGGGTTATGCACTGTTTGCCAGGTCCCTAGTGGGGGCTTCTCCCTTTCATCTCAGAGATCAATGGCTTGCTCTTAGGGAAAATGACAAAGAAAAGGCTGAGCTCCAGGGAGCCCTGGGTGCCCATAGACACTGGTAGGAGAGGAGGGGCACTGTGCATGCCCCAGGAGGTGAGGCCTTGGCGTGACTATGATGATCTCCTCTGCATTTCCCAAAACCAATCATCAGCCCTGGCATGAAGGAACCAAACTCCCCAGGAGGGTGTTTGTGGGATACACAGGGCTTCTCTGAGCTGGGAGGTAAGGAGATGTGAGGCTCGCATGTGGCATCAGTCTACTGCATACCAACTGCTGTTAACAATAGACAGAGCATGTGGTATACATCGTGGGTGGAATCTTTATTCAAATTGGAAACTGACGCTCAGGGGGATAAATGTCTGATTAGAGGTCATATGCCTGGTAACTGGCAGAACCAGGTTCCAAACTCAGGTCTTATTGGCACTGTCCTGTGGCCGTGGCCCCTGGTTTCCTGCCTAGAAGGGGGACCCACGTAAGACCTTCAGTCCAGAAGTTACCCAGGTGGTGGGTGGACCTCACCATGCATTTTCCTCCCCGTTGGCATTTTCATTCTGACAAAGAGGAGACAGTGAGCACCTGGAAGGGAAATGTATTCCAAAACAGCCTCCACTGTATGGGGGTGTGTGTGTGTGTGTGTGAATAAAACGGGAGCAGCCTGCCCCTGCACCCCCGAGTGGACCGGGCAGCTTGAGTGCCAGCTCGTAAAGCCTCTGGTACGGTTTATGGGACCTTTCTCCTTCCACTGGCTGCCACCGTCAGTCATTGTCCTGTCTCTGAACCCTAGGATTGGTTCTGCCGGCCCCCAAATTGAGGATCTGGTCATCTTCTCTGTGGATTTCCTAGTTTCCTTAGGATGTTCCCCCCCTCCACCCCTTGAGGTACCCCTAATCACAGCTGTCTCTGCCAGAGTAGAAGGGAAGGGCAGGGAAGGGCAGGGAGAGGGGGAGGGACACAACCACACAAGGTTCTTCTCAAGTTTACAACCGCACAGACATTTATGAGCCTCAGGGCAGTTTTCTGCACCAGTCTGGACCCGAAGGAAGGGAGGAAGGGAGAGTTGCATGACTCCTTCAATTGACTCATTAACATACACTCTTAAAAAACATCAGAGGCCAGATCATGTGCTCACATCCTTATTCTGGATGTGAGCACGGGGAGGCCTGGAAGGTGGCTTGCCCACAGTGGGGCACCTCTGGATTGTCCTCCCAACCCCATGCCACCTCCTTGAGTTACTGCTTGACTCTTGTGTCACGCCTGGGGCAGTGCAGCTGCCTCACCCACCCAGAACTGCCTACATCTAGATCTATTGTTTAAGGAAGAAGTAAACTTCTGTCTTGTTTCTCGAAGCCATTGCTACCTGGGAACTCCCTGTCATTCACAACCAAACCTAATCACATATACCTGAAATGTAACTCCCACCCACTTGCTCTGTGGTCTACCTTTGGCAGGGATAACAAGAGAAGCACAGAACAGATTCCAGACTGTGCTACTCGTCACCTGTCTCCATCTTTATCAGCCTGGCTCTGTGATTGAATCACCCACCGCAGACAGGACAGCCACAGACGGAGGTTGCCAGGTGTGTGACTGGGGTTTTCACTTCCTTTTCCTGGAGGGACCACACCATACAGTTGCTGGTAGGTAGTCCAACATGACATAACTGATACTCAGGTGGCTAGGTCTTCCCCACCTGTCCAGACCCTATTCTCCATGTCCTGTCTCTAGACACAGACAGATTTCTAGAGCTAATTAGGGTTGATAGATATACCAAAAATTGTCAAGCTGAGTGTCTCCAACCATTTTGTTAGAGACCACATTAAGAAATACATTTTACAGAGTATGGGGTGCCTGGGTGGCTCAATTAATTTAGTGTTTGACTCTTGACTTTGGCTCAGGTCATGATCTCACAGTTCATGAGTTTGAGCCCTGAGTTGGGCTCTGAGTTGAGTGGAGCCTGGTTGGGATTCTCTCTCTTTCTCTCTCTCTCTGTCCCTACCCCACTCACACTTGCTCGCTCTCTCTCAAAGGAAGGAAGAAAGGAAGGAAGGAAGAAAGGAAGGAAGGAAGGAAGGAAGGAAGGAAGGAAGGAAGGAAGGAAGAAAGGAAGGAAGGAAGGAAGGAAGGAAGGAAG